ACAGCAGGAAAGAAAAAGAAAAATAGACCAAATTAGCATAGAATGAAAAAGACAACAAAAAAGAATAAAAAATAAGAAGAAGAAGAATGAGACGACAAAAGAAATAAAGGAGTAAGGATAGAAATAGAGAAATAACGCCAAGAGAAGCAAGAGAAGCAAAGTATCGAGAATAGCAGACACAAACTAACAAGACAAGCTTAAGAGATACAAGGAAGCGAAAAGGAAAAGGTAAGAAAAAAGAACAACAGAAAGTATAGGGTATCAGAAATAACGCGAAAAAAAGAAGGAAACGCGACAAAGACACGAAAGAGTGGGATATATGCAATCAGAAAAGAGAAATGTAAGAGATGGCAAGAAGTAAAGAAAGAACAAAAAAGAGAAGGCACAGAAAAACAGAAATTAGAGAAAACAGGCAATAGAAAGCATAAGTGATAAGATAAGAAAGAAAGATGAGAAAGAAAGAAAAAAATACAACACATAAGGAAAATAATAAGATTAAGAAAGAAAGGAAAGTACAAAAGAAGAAAAAAAAAAAGAAATGAAGACAGGAAAACAGAAAATGATAAAGAAGGTAATACTAGGATAAGAAAATCACGGAACAGAAGAAAGAAAAAGAAAAAAGAAAGAAGGCAAGAGAAGTAAGGAAGATACAAAGAAAATGAAAAGAAATAAAGAAGTGAAAAAAAAAAGCATAAAGAAAAAAAGAAATAGAAGGCAAAGAAGGTAAAAGACAAGAAAGAAATAAAGAATGAAGGACGAAAAAAATGCAATAAAAAACAGCAAAAGGGAAGATAAGAGTGAGGTAAGACAGAAATAATGAAAAAAAAAAAGAAGAAAATAACAAGAGAATAGTAGAAAAAACAAGCATAAGAAGGGAACAGTAACAAAAACGAATGAGAAGAAGGAACAAGTAGGAGAAAAAAGAAGGTAGAAAAGAAGAGAAGATGGGATAAAGAAATGTGAAAGAGAAGAAAAGAAAAAAATAAATAATAAGACAGAACAAGAGACAGGAACATGCCAAAAAGCAAAAAAGAGGAAAAACAAACAAGAAAGATGATAAAGAATAAGCAAGAGTTAAAAGAGCATAAGAAAAAGGCAGCAAGAAAAGGAGGAAAAGAAAGAAAAAAAGATAAGACAAGAGGAAAGGAGGAAACAAGAAAAAGGAAACAAAAAAGACAAAAGAACCTAGAGGGTATACAACAAAATACAACAGCGCAAGGTAAATAGGGAAGGAGAAAGAAAGAAGTAAGAAGAGAACATAAGAAATAATGAGAAATAAAAGGAACAAACAAGAGACATGAGGAAGAAGCAGTCGAGAGAGACATTAGAAAAAAAATAAGACAAGCGGGAAGAAAAGAAGAAGGAACCAGGAAGAAAATTGGCAATAAAAGACCAACAAGACAGAAATAGGGAACGATCGAAATGAGGACAAAAGAAAGAGAAAAGAAGAAGTACAAGAAGCGGGATAATCGACATCGAGAAAGACAGCAAACACAAGACAAACGAAAGGGAAATAATGAAAATAGAAGGTAAGAACAAGGAGAGTAAAGCAAGATGAGAAAGAAGACGTAAGAGAAAGAAAAAGAAAGAAGGAGGAATAGAGAAGAAGGAATAAAGCAAAAATGGAATAAGCAAGAGAGAGAGATGAAGGAGAAAAAAGAAAAAGGGACATAAAGAAGAAAGTAGAAAGAATAGGAAGAAAAACAAAAGAGAAGCAACAGTAAGAATGAGTAACTGTAGGGCGCAAACAATGGAGAGATCTAGGACAGAAGAAAAAACAACAGAAGCAAGGTAGGAAAAATGAACGAGAGCGAAGAAAAAAAAGAAGAGAGGAATGAGAGAGAAAGGAGGAGATGAGAATAGAGCTGAAGAAGATAGAAGAACAAAGATGAGAAAAAAGTATAAAGGAAAGAATAAGATAAAAAGATAAAAGCATGAGAAAAAGGAACAAAATAGAAACAGACATAAAAAACAATAATGTAAAGAAAAGATGTAAAAAGTAGGCAGGACACAAGAAAAAAGTCAAGAGACAGCAGGAAAGAAAAAGAAAAATAGACCAAATTAGCATAGAATGAAAAAGACAACAAAAAAGAATAAAAAATAAGA